AGCAACACGGCCCGGTGCGGCCGTGTGTCTGCCGCAGCTCTGCGCGGCCCCGTGTCCGTGTGTCCCCGTGTCCGTGTGTCCCCGTGTCCATGCACCCACGGGTCTGTGCACCCACAGGCTTGTGCATCCGTGTAGCCACGTGCCTGCGTGTCGGTGTGTCCTTGCATCAGTGCATCCATCTGTCCCTGCATCTCCGTTTCCATGTATCCATGCATCCCTGCACCTGTATATCCATGCATCCGTGTGTCCGTGCATCTGTCTGTCCTTGCATCCGTGTGTCTGTGCATCCAAACATCCCTGTGTCCCTGCATCCGTGTCCCTGCGTGTTGGTGCATCCCTGTGTCCATGCACCCGTATGTGTCCGTGTGTCCGCGCATCCGTATGCTTGTGCATCCATGTGTCCGTGAGTCCTTGTATCACTGCATCCATGCATCCTTGTGTCCGTGCATCGGTGCATCCCTACGTCCGTGTTCACACCTGTGACCCCGTGTGCTCGTGTGTCCGAGCATCTGTGTGTCCGTCCAGCTGTACGCCCGTGTGCCTGTGCCCACGCATCCACGCATCCGTGCATCCACATACTGCTGCATCCATGTGTCCGTGTGTCCTTGCACCGGTGCATCCATGTATCCGTATGTCCCTGCATCTCTATATCCGTGCAGCCATCTGTCCAGGTACCAGTGCCTCCATATATCCATGTGTCCATGCATCCATGTGTCCATGCATCCATGTGTCCATGTACCAGTGCCTCCATATATCCATGTGTCCATGCATCCACCTGTCCACGCATCCGCACACTAGTGCACCCGTGACCTCATGTGTCCCTGTGTCCGACAGTCCGTGTGTCCATCCCGCTGTGTACCCGTGTGCCTGTATCCATGCGTCCACACATCCATGCATCCGTATGCTTGTGCTTCCGTGTGTCCGTGTGTCCGTACCTGCCCTCTGCAGGTGCCCTCAATCCCGCACCGCAGCAGGGTGTCACCATGCAGGAGGTGGTGGCAGCTGGTGGCTGTGTCCCTGAGGCTGGGATGTCCCTGCTCAGCCCCAGCCCTGCC